TATTCTTCTATTAGACTTAGTATTCTTCTAAGTTTAACACTGAAGACACATGTTGTTTTTCGAGTTTACTCAAAAAAATTCAAAATAGATAAGCCATTTGAATGAGTCCCTTAGCCCGGACGAAACCGGTCATGGTAGCTTTATCACACCCCGTCTGATGAGACCCTTAAGCAAAATCGAAATCGTGATCACAGTGTGCTTTTTTGACTCACCCCTCACCCTCAAGATGTAAGCAACATCGAAATACCTGGTATTGTGGTAGCTACACTCACCCGGGAATCGAAACCGATTATGGCAACTATTCTCATCCTCACCCTCGCCATCACCCTCATCCTCTCCAGTTGTAGAGGAATTGGCATCAAGTGTTTTGGCCAAGCCGGCTTTGCCTGTAGCAGTCTGGTTTGATTTTATTTTGATCACAAACTTTTTTGTCATTACAAATAAACAATTCCAGTGAAGTTGTGAAATTAGGAAATCGAACAGGGGGGTTTGCTTGTCGCCTCTTCTAACAGCTGTTCTGCTCTCTCTTTCTCTCGTTCTGCTTGCTTTCGTTGTCGAGCTTCTTCTTGTTGAACTTCAACTTGTTTGCAATATCTCTCATAGGATTCTGCTTGTTCCATACGTCGTCGTTCTAGTTCGACCAGTCGCTGCTTTTCTGCTTCACGTCGAGCTTCCATTTCACGATGTCTTTCCGTTTCAGCTTCTTGTCTGTGTTTTTCTTCTAGTTCGAGGCTTTCCTTGAGTGCTTCTGTTTCGCGCTCATTCGATGCATACTTATCTTGAAGTTCTTTGATCACTTTACGAAGTGAAATTTCATTTGACTTGATTTGTGCTAATTCAGCTTTTTTCTCCTCTAGATCGATGTGTCTTTGTTGAAACTCGTTTTCCGTATGAATCAGCTTGTTTTCAATGGAATGAAGTTTCTCATACATTTGCTGAAGCTCTTCCGTTTTCGAATGAACATTATTTTGCGCCTCAGTAAGATCTTCTGCTGCGTGTCGAAGTTTCATCTGTGTCTGTTCCAGTTCTGCTTGAAGTGTCTCTTTAGATTTCCGGACGCGTTGTGATTCGCTGATTAATGTGTCAATGAGTGGGAACGGTCTGACACTTTCACTGAACATCTTAAAAAGCTTCGCTCTATAGTCAGCTACTGTTAGATATTGGGATATAAGAGTTTTGCTAGCCGATTGGTAGTCTTCTTGTTTCAATACACCGGTGAAAAAAATACCTTTTTTGAAGTAAGGTACCAGCGACTTGAATTCTTTATCTGCCATTAGTTGCGCTCTCAAGGCTTTTCGTTGCTTTTTGTCTTTTGATTCGCAATGCGTTATGAGTAAACAGGCGTTCGACGATACTTGATTTCCAATTGTTTCCAATAGTAATTTAAGTGCTTGAATATCTTCTTGATTAATACCCGATGTAAGTGCGACAACAAAGCAGATCACATGGAACTTAGTAATTTCTGCATTGATACAAGTATCGATAGCCTTCATAATGATTTCATTGTCGCGAATTCCTATTTCATCGGTGCCACGTTCAAATAGGCCCGGTGTGTCGATGATGTTAAGTACGAGATCGTCACAGTCGTTCATTGGACATAAATTTTCTTTGGAAACGTTATATTCAGGAAATTCCTCGTCAGAAGATTCATTTATACGACTTGTTATTCTCCGTGTAATGTGGAGCGTGTCGAACACTGGATCTTTTGTTCCTGACATGAGCTGCTGTTCTTCAGCAACAATCATCGGATCAATTAACATCGCTTTAATCGTCGATTTTCCGGTACGTGTTCGTCCTACTAACACTACATTTCTCTGCACTGATCTCGAAATTGTAAAGTCACCGAAGTTTTCTTCTTCTTCTTTAATTTTCATCATAACCTCGTTTCGTCTTACAGCTACATCTTCGGTAGATTGCTGATGACGGAGCGACTTCTTCTTTCAAAAAGTAAACTATGTATAAATATGCAGACTGAAGAAACAGTTTCTTACCTTTTCTCCCGAGCGTGACATAATAAAAGACAATTTTAGAACCTTGTGATGTGAATCTGAGAAACTTCTTCGGTTCTATTCAAGCTGCTCGTTATACAGAAAATCGTTTTGGTCGTAAAACAGGCCTCGTCGATGTGCGATAGGTAATACAAAGCAGCAACATAATAACAAATTCTTGATAAGAAAAAAAAACCCACTGAGTTGATAAAAAAGGCGCTAAAAGTCATTGTGTTTGGATTGATAACTATTATTATCGTTCTCTTCTTACATTAAGCAAATAAACATACCATGCTTTAACCGTCTCCTACCCTTGTAGTCGAAAGCACAGTAATTGAAATCTATAAGAATGTTGTCATTCTCACAATTTTGAGATATAAACTTGGTTTTTTTCTTGCTATTTAGGAGATATTATCATTTCAGGAAGCTCTGACATTCAAGGTTCGAAGAACGAAGTAACCTTACTTCTGTTATAAAGTATTAGCAACGAAAAGTAATTATTTTCGAATTTGTAAGTATTCATTAGAAAATAAAGAGGGACTTAATAATCATCGAGTGTATTCTTCGAAGATGTCGCTTCGAGATCAATATAATCAGAAGAATATTGTCCAAGAACAGAAAAACCTCATCGATCATATCCTTCAAACATACAAAGCGACCAATGAATATGCAATATCAAAAGTCGAACAAAGGAATATAATACTCGTCGGAAGAACACGTACGGGCAAGTCAACTATAAAATCATTGCTTCTTGATCCAACGAGAATTCCAGAAGAATTAACATTATTTTCACACACAGAAACTCCTACACTCGATTCGTATTATGTTGCTGATAAAAATTTCGTGCTAAACATAATGGATACTCCAGGTCTTGGAGAACGTGGTAATGATGAACTTGAAGCTCGTGATAATGCGAAGATTGTTAAGGATATCGATGCTTTTATCAATCATGAATTTACCAAGTTGCATATCATTTGCTTTTGTATAGCAGTTACCTGTGGTATTAACGATCAGGATGTTCAGATAATTCGACAATTACTGGATATTTTCGATGAATCTGCATCGAAGAATTCCTGTTTGATTATCACTCACTGCGAATCTAAAAATAAGGAGGAACGAAACAAATTGAAGAGAGAGCTAATGCAAGACAAGTATTTTAAAGAAGTTTTTGGTTATTGCAAGTTAGGCGTCTTGTTTTCTGGTGCACTTGATCCCGATGACTATAACATGGCCAATGAAACTCTGACAGATCAATTTTTTACGATTAATACAGACCGTGCAGAACTCATTCAATTGTTTACTGGTGATATTGAACCAGTTTCACTCGAGCTCACACAGATTAGTGAGCTGAGACGTGCTCGTGACGATGCAAAGTTGAAAGAGACCAAACTTCATCTGATCCAAGGAGATCTCGACATGAGAATCAGCGAACAAATGAGGATAGAGAATGAGCTAGGAATGACAACTGCTAAATTAGAGAAGATACGGTCATACATTAACAAAGTTGAACATACTAATACAGAATTGGCAGCACAATTTAAAGAGAAGACAAAATACCAAGAAGACCTTCAACGAAGTTTAGCTAAAGAACACATGTATTTAGAAGAATGTGAAAAACATTTAGAAGCACAACAACAAGCATGCAATAGAATTACAGAACAATTGAATGACCAACAACAAGCTTCTAGTTCGATTAAACGGAATTTGGACAATGTACAGGAAGGCCTGTTGCGGATTGAAAATGGCTACAGAGCTGAAAATATACATCTCCGTGCGCTACAAGCAAAATTATATGAACAATTAGCTGATGCATCAAAAAAAATACAAGATCAGTACCAATTGCTTGAGAACAATCAACTTGAAAGGAAAGAAGCACAAAATCCGCAAAAAGAGAAAAAATCACGGTTCTTCGGTTCTAAGTAGTTCGTCACACAATAAAAAATATTCTAGACGTTCGTAGAGAAGATATACCAATATCGGTAACCCGGTTCAGGCGAAGAACCAACAGAGTGATAAAAAATAAAATGAAAAGAGGAGAAAAAAAAACATAAAGACGAAAAAGTAGAAGAAAACAATAACAATACATAGATAGGACAACACAAAACACACATTTATAAAACTACACAAGGACATACACAAAAACGCAAATATAAAACACAAAAATGAAATATTAGCGATTGGATCTTGTTTGTCGGATGGTTATCATCCACAAATATGTCACCGCTATATCCATTAGACTGTTACCTCCAGACCACAAGCGGATTGGGTTCCAGTAACAGTCATCATACTTCACAGTTAACCACCTGTAGATTTTAGTCACTAAACTGAAACACCTTGTTTCTCCAACCATGTTTTCGCACAAGCTTTCACATGTGATGTGGCTCCTTGAGGTTTCAAGGATCTTCCACAACCTTGATTTGGACAAATATATTCATTTTTATTGCTTTTTACCAATAAATCTATTATTTTCGCTCCACCAGTAGTAGATTTATCTATGAACTTTTTATTTGAACAAGTTCGTTGATGTCCTTTCAAGCCTCGTTACTTTTTACATATGCGTCCACACTGAGTGCATGTGGCATCATCAGTTGTAGAAGCTAGCGGATTAGTAACAGGCATAGTTGTATTTTGTTTTACTACTTTTAGTAGTTCTTCTTCTGCTCAACGGTGAGCTGCTCTTTCTTTATGTTCTTGTGCAATATGTACCACATCTGTATGAACCGTAGTGTGTCTGGCATCTCGGTTAATTGTTTTTCACCATTTATTCTCATCTTGAGTCTCTCGTCTCCAATTTTTAATATCCAACATGGTGATGGCTTTCGCGATTTCATTTCGTCATCTTAATTTGATACCATGTGGAGGTCCCATTGCATCTTTGAATGAGGCGAACAATGTCGTCTTTGGTAGCAGTGGATAACCTTGATCGTTATCCATGCGATTAACATGACCAAATTATCGCAATCTATTCCTTCCCAAAATATTTTCCCAAGATGGTTCACCAGTACGAATTTTCAGATCATGCGTACTACCCGTACTCGTATATGGTAGCGAACTATGGTGTCTGACATTTGTTGAAGAACAACGTTTGAAAACAATCTATATGAAATGTTTGAG